CGGAAGTACTTTTGACTTTTCAGTTCTAGTATTCCATCGTTTCTATTAAAATTTTAATATTTACGTTTGATTTATTGATAGTTTTGTTTCTATCGCACTGAACGTTCAAAGTTTGATTTCTTGCTTTATTTTTCAAGCTAGTGCTGTTCAAATTAATAGCAAGAAGTCGTGTTATATATAATCATCAGCCTTAAGGGTTCTTACTCCTGAGATCTGCTAAGAGGATAGGACCTAAACTACCATGCTGCCAAAACTCAGGTTGGCGTGATTCATATCGTTCAGTTCAATTGTCGTGACGTCGTTGTTTTTTTAAAAGTCGAACTCCCAACTCTTTTACCGGTCAGAAATCTTAGTTAGCCTAAGTTAAAAAAGAATAAGTTTTCATACATCGCCTTCAAACTATTAGAAAACTACAGACAATGCTAAGTCATTAAACAGTCTTCTGTTCTTAATTTATGAATTAATAGCTGGTTGCTTATAGATTCTGTGTTACTACGAACACAACAGGATGTATCCATATAACTAATGCATAGACGCGTATTGTACGGAGCGAGTATTCAGTAAGTACCTGCGCTCCACGGTTCACTACACTCTCGTACAATGCCTATCTTGTTTATTGTGCATATCAAAGGCCCTTCCACAATACCTCCTGGCTTCTACTCCGTGCAACCTACGCTCTGCTCGTTAAACATATTTGATTACATCGCTTTTATAAGTTACAACACAAATTGATGTTTGATTGCATTTGAGTGGGATGTTATTTATATACATATCATTTCCATCTTACTTTATTAATGTTTTACTGTAGTATTTAATATTAATTAGCAATCATAATTAATAAAAAAAACTGTAAGTCTTTTTGAATTAGTGCCATGTTTCCTGACTTTCGATTACGTTTTGGTTTGAGTACTGGTTGCAACTTAGCGTTTAAATTCTTTTGAACATCTGACAATTGCTATTATACCGGAATATATCATCTAGAAAGCATATTTGTAAAGCAAATATTATGCTTTATAATATTAAGTCAGTGTAAATCTGGTTTTGGTTAGTGTGGGAAAGATCTTTGTGATTAATAAAAAGATATAATTGAATATTAACGTCATATTTTAGGGTTTTACATTAGGTTAAATTGAATGGAGAAGACAGATAAACCTTATTATTTATTACCTAGTAAACAATCCCTATGATCGTTAATTAGTGCCAAAACGTGATTTTCTGATGCGGAACCTAATCGAATTTCGATTCGCTGCGGACCGCGTTCTAATTACTTCCTAACTCTATTACCTTGATTTCATATCTATTATTCAAAGCATTTAACGCTTAGCTCTGAATTTAACATTAATTTCAAGTGTATACAATAAATTCAAATCAATTAGCTTCTAAGAAGCTTCTAGAGATCTTGTATACTTATACATATTTTGCTAAGAGCAAATATCCTACTTAAACTTCATTTATAGAAAGTCCAGTGCTACGTTAAAGTTTTCTTGTTATGTCATTATTAATAAATCTTTTCTATAAGGCTCCGTTCAACGTGTTTCAATCTACCGGTCTTCCCTGTTTTATTCTCCTGTTTCAGTTTCACCTTTGTGGAAAGATTAATTCCTTATAAGTGACTTCTAGGTCACGTCTTTTTTTTTCTTCGTAACATATAAGTGTTTGTTTTAGTCCTCTAATAATTATTAAGTACATACTTACAACAGCAGACGTGTATAAGAAGTGCCATCATTAATCTTTGACTCAGCTCGTGTTCTCGAGTGCTGTTACTGGCGCGAAATGAAAAGATCCTGTAATTGAATACTACGAGTATAATTATAAGGATTTTAAAATAAAAACGAGCAGGTGTAGAGGCATTAAACAGGCGTGTACACTTGCTACGGTTCTGTCATTAGTGTCAAGCGTTTGAAATGGTATACGGTTCGTGAACTCCAAGTAGGGGTTAAGGCGGGGGTGGGAAATATAGTAATACGGAGAATTGCTACTTCACCCTACGCGGAAACGCGAACTATGACCTCCTTTATGAGTCACACTGAAGTATTTCATTATTTTCGATGCGTGATCATTTGCGCCGGCGCTTTGACATTCTGTCTAATATGTGAATTGTGCTAGAATAAAAAGATGTGAATATTCGTGCTAATTTTTATTTTTTCTTCATATTTAGCTTAGCAAGTTTTCGAATTCGAAGGCGAACTACCTGCAAATAATCAATTATACTTATACATTTTGTTAATTTCTTTTTTATTTAGTGTATTAAATTAAAGTGCAATAAGGAGTATCTATATGTTTCGAAAAAACATAAACAAATTAATGATTAAATTGAAAAGTTATACATGTATAGGCACTGACACACTGTATGTATTATAAAACTAGTTTCACCTAGTTCCTACGAACGTTTAACTTATCGGGTGTGTAGAAAATTCATGCGTCGTTAAGTGTCATGTTTCCTTCGCACTTGACAATAATTCTATCGAGACTTTATTTTGCGGGTGGATAAGATATCCTTCGCATTATCTTTTGCAATCTGAGCCGTGGCCTACTTCGTGACATTGCGTAGGTCAGACCGACAAACGTGCGCACACTTTCTATATCATGCGTACTTTCACTTCCACTTTTGTTTACTCGTTATGTTAATAAGCGTTATGAGCGAAAATTAAGACTATTTTGGTATTCACTTTCAATAATCATTACAAAACCTATACCGAAAAGATTCAAAAACATTGTAGATAAAACTGATACAAATGTCCTCTGGTATCCATCACAATAAGCATTTATTGTTTGTCACTTAGAAAAGTCTAGTCATTAGAAAAACACAGGATTGCCCTAGTATGTCCCCACACCAGGGACTCTCTATCTGCACGCATATATTAAAACATAATAAAGATTTTGATTTTTTTATTGCTGACGGTGTGTGAAAAATCGAAAAGATGAGTGCTATCTATAAAAAATATAGTTCCAAGTGACCGCTAACTAAAGACAGCAAACTTTCTAAAAAATCTTTGAGCTTAAAATTGTTATGTTAGTTTTTGACGTCTACAGGATGAAAACATGAATACCACATCCATCAACAAGCTGTCGTCTTAGGTGCTTATTAGATATCAGGTAGGTAGTCAAAACTGTGTTAGATTAATCACAAAAAGCCAATTGTAATGAATACAAATGACATGTTTACAAACACAAAACAATATGAGGAATGTTTATTTAATTGAATTTGCTTTGATCGTGGTTTTACGTTTCAGGTCGTTGATCTATTTATGTTAGATGATTTATTCGCTTTATGACGTTTTCTATAATTTAATTAGTTAGTAATTTAACGATTACCTGGTTGAGACCTACCTGTGCTCGGTTTCCGAAAATCCCCGATATATATAAAAATCGTCTTGACTTGGTACACGAGTCTGATCACTCTCACTCGGGAGAAAAAGTCGATTAAAAAGGTAGTAATTAGTATTACTGGACTTTCTTTTTATGTAAAAAATAATTTAAGCGTAATAAATAGACTCTTAAAATTAAGCAAATATTTATCAATAATAATACAAAATCACAAAGCTATGAAAATCAGAAATAGTGTCATATTTTCACAGCGAAACTTCGTCATAGTACAGTCTACTTAACTCGATAGCTATCAAAATACTTCCTAGATCCATAAACTGGCTGTTTGTCAATTTCCCCATGACGCAGCGCTGTCAAAGCATAATGTTCGAGCTTGTGCAAACAGTTTGGGCAGTCCACCCCTTCCCATGGGTTTAACCACCCGCATCAGGGATGCCAACTGGGAAAAAATCGACACATTAAATGACCTTCTTTAATAACTGTATACGCACTTTCCACATTATGTTATTACGATAAAACCTTAAGTACTTTGAGTGTACTGTTTCAAGCCGCAATGCTAAAGATATTTGAAGTGAAGGACATTTACTCATTTTTTTTTTTCGGAAACTTTGCTGTAATATTATACTAAGGCTTTTGTTAATTTCAATGCAATCGTGATCTTACGTAATGCTGATAAAAATGTATATTAAGAACTACTCTACTGTACTATTTAGTAATTTGAGTAATAACTTTTTATTTATAAATTATTTGAAATACGATATTCTTTCGATTTTGCATAATCCATTATCTTCAAGTTTATTCCAATGAGACATTTGATTTATGAATAGCGATTTAGGTAATGCCGTCCCAAAGGAGGACAAATTAATTTCAGTTGAGTCAATTTGTCTTGTGAATGTTCTCCGCTCGGGCCGTGGGTATGAATTAAACTATGTCATTAGCCGGGTTCACTGTTCGTTATCGTTTATCAATCAATGTTACTGCAGTATGTTCGTTTCGTTCTAGCAAGTCAGTGCAATAAGGGAGCGAGGTGCGCCGCTGACTAAGCAATATATAGCATGAAAGCACAAAACGCTGACTCACTGTGAAGCTTGAAACTCTAAGAACTATGACTCAGCTTACAACCGCGTTTATTTCTTAGTCAATTATATAACGGGTCAATCGATAGAACTTATGTGTTGTACGCTCATACATTTTACGAAACGTCCGATCTTATGTCAGTAAAACAACGGATGCGTCGTAGATTATGGAGGACCTAAATTACATTTTAATGAGGCCACAGAGCGCTCGGCTAATCGCGAGCAGTCAAACAATTACCATTATAGGCTAAATAACGCTGCTGTTAATATGAAAATAATAACGTTCGTTACAAATGATGTGACGTGCCATGTATATTGTTATTATCGGGAGCATATTTACTCAAAAGCCTTTAGTATACCACGGGGATTCTTTAAACTTGTTTATGTGGTTGTAGACTGTGGTGTGCGGAACACTTAAATAAATTAATGTGATATTCTTATATTTTAGTCGCCAAATATATACATATTATATTTTGGCAACGAAAACATAAATTTCCCATCAACATGACTTTATATCCTAAACATACAGAAATGGTTCTACACTTAGGTTAGTTGTTTTTTTCTGGATATTACTGTAAAACATGATGTTTTTTACAGCGAGTGGAACGAGAAGCTACCAAGAGTCCAGCAACGACCGGGGGTAGAAAGAAGGCAGCTGTACGCAACAACGGCCAGATTAACTCTTCAGAAGCACCACCAACTCAACCTGCAGGTAAATCTATTTCGATAAAGTTTTGAAATTTCATATTTTTATATAAAATCCTTCCTCTTTAAATGATATGAAAACTGTTAATGTACACGACAATATAACGTGGTTTAGTAGCACGGGGGCGAATTCGCGTGTATATCTAGTTTCTATATAAATAAATTATAATACAACTATTTCTTCTACATACTTTTCTGTGAGAAATGGGCATTAATTTCCCCTTTCGGGTTCAATGAAGTAAACGTCATAACTATTAATTGCAATTTCTGTTTCTCACACTTATTCAATTAATAATATCGGATCACTAATGCAAAAAACATCGCGATCAATCATCATAATTATAGGTCATGCCTCAGTATAAATTGCAAGACAACAAATCGTTTTATTAATACGTCTTGAATAATTTATACACATTACAAGGAAATCATATTTATTTATCTTAATTTTGTCCTTATTGCGAATGGGTCTTATTATTTTTCCTGTCCAATATGTTTGAAAATATACAAAACGGCTAGAATCCGAATATCCAATTCCAAAGCCAAAACAAGTCAACAACGCATGTTGCTTAGATATAATATGTCTGCGGTATATCACTTACCATTAAGTGAAGCAATCTTGTCTGTTTTCCTCTAATTCAAATAAAACACTATAACGGTTTAAAACGATACGGATATGCATTAGTTAAACTTATTTGAACATTATTTTATTTACGGCCTGACCTTTCGGGTGCTTTGAAGTGTGTACTATTTTAATCTCTATTTAATTTAAATGTGTACTACTCGCGTAAACTACAAACAGTGGTCGCCTCTGTCTTAAAGAAAGGAATGTTTTGACAGATAGTCAAACATTAGTTACCATTATAAAAGGAAACTGTATATCACTATAATTTTCCCTTATCATGTAGCCTGTCCCTTTGTAGGCAAGATTGGAAGGAAACGATAGTTTATAGCTTGATAAACGCTATGTCTGAGAACAGGTTTAGTATGGATTACACGTAACGTTGTAGCCTCAAAGGCTCTCGTGGGATGTTTTCCGGAAGCTTAATAGGGAATATCGACCATTTAGGTAGTGCTTCAGCTTATGTCGGAAATGGAATTGGATGCGCTATTCAATGAGTTTCCCCATTGACTTGCAACGTAATTACATATATGTTTCGTGAATGCAGTATGTCTTAATACTACGTCTGTGTGAAATAGAGATAATTTCTTATAATGAAGTTTAGATAAGTTATAGGTAGTTACACATTTTTCAGTTGAAGAGGAAGACAACTTTTCGTAAGGGCAAAACACTTTTTTACTAACATTTAATTCAGTGGTGAGTAAACTTTGAAAAACAAACTTTATTTTGTAGCAAAAAAATATTTTAAAAAATCATAATAATATTTTTTTAATAATTTAATACTCGTAATATACCTGTAGACGACACGACAAATATATCCGGACTTTACTGGCCCTATATAAAATAGTTTAGATTTCAATAAATAAGAAAAGTCCACAGATGTGAAATAGTGAAGCAAATCCCGTCCTATACTTTCTCTAATGGACGGCTCGCCTGTGACTGGCGATTGCAGTCAAGATGAATGGCGTCCATTTGCGTCGAAATGGTATAGGGACATGTGTGTTTTTCACATGAATATACCACCTTTACATAACATACCACCGATAAAAATATATTATAGTTAGGCTCTTTACGGACTACGGTTATAATATTGATACTAATAAGTTCGTAGCGTGTTCATTGTTATTATAATCAAATCTTGTAATCAAAAGATCTTTATTCTGGTAAGCAATGCACACAACTAAAACAACTGCGGTATTTCTAAGCATTTATATTCGTTGTCCTTACTAAAAAGGTCAAAAGTGTTCGTGTTTGTTTTCCTCGACGCTATTAATTTATGCGATACTTTTTTGTCCTTCTCGTCCTCTAAAAGGTGTCTTTGAATCTTTTATAGTCTTATTTGTATGTGGAGTCATTTCTATTCCCATCGCATCTGTCGACAAGTATCAAGTAAAATTCAACACGCGTCTTTGGGCTAAAAGGTTATCCTTTGACTGAAATATTGTATCCAAGATAAAGCCTGATAAAACGTGCTTTCATTTTGCTCCGTGTTCGTGACAGGCGTGTGACGTCACAGGACTGCTATCCCCTCGGGGAACTAACGTGTCATGTAAATAATGGGAAATGCTTTATTTTTGAGCTCACTTGAGGCTCATTTCGTAGTGCATAAACTTCACATATTTCAAATACCACATTTATACTTCGATCTTGAACCTTGCATAAATAACTATTAATTTCGTTTTTGTTCTACGTATAATGTAACGGTTATAAACGAGTTAGTGACAAACAAAATTTCCATATCGTTAGACCTCCGCTCCCTCTTTTGACATTGTAATTTTTCGTGAATGAGGCGCGTTCATTATTCTCGAATAATTCGAAATAAATTAAATTTTGTAACCGTGACCGATACGAATTTACATAATAAAGAGTTGATGTCCGACATCTTGTATTCCAACGGTAACTCCTTACATAAGTGGCGATACTTTCTAAATAAATATTAACTTCTTTGTTTTGAATACATAACTGTTGATTTTAATCATTTAAGGCTTTAAGAATGACGGGTATATATTATAAGTAGCAAAGTGACACTAAGATGTCATCCTTACTTTTTGCAGTTTTGTATATAAACTATTGATATTTTATAGCTGTAAAAACCCTATAATGACATTCTTCGATACACTTTATAAATGTAAATATCAAACTCGATATTAATGGAATATTTGGCGAGTAATAACTGAAGACGAATTATTTAAATTTCTCCATCGAAAGTTGGGAACTATGTAATGTATTCAGACAGTAGCTAACTTTATATTGGTTTCGAAGTTGTGAACACTCGAGTCCCGAACAAATATTGCTTGGATCGTTTCAACTTTTCTTGTTCATCGGAGGAGTTCGGTCACTTTCGTTAAGGTGCAGTCTTTACAAGTTTCTGATGAAACTTTGATACTGGTTCGCGATGTTGACAACCATTTATGTGACGTGTAATAGTCTGCTATTGAGTTACCATGTCAAACAAATAGCTGCCAAAGTTATTAATGCTTTTCGACCTACATACGTTATAAGCCCTGTGCATGCTGCAAATATTAAAGCGTTTTGTTTGTAAGCCACGCGTAACGTGTTTTGAACAAAGACGATATATAAGCTCTTTGTGGCTTCGTTAATCCTGCCAAGATAGCATGCGATATCATTGGAAGTTCATTAACATAAACAAGGCTCACCGTGTTCAAAGTACAGATTATACAGAGAGACGTGGAAACGACAGTCCTTTGTGTCAGTTAAACGGAATTCGGATATTGGTTCAACGTCGCGCGGTGCCTCGCTTGTTTACCGAACAATTTACTTTTAATTGGTTTTGGCTACCATTATTGTGCCCTCTAGCTATGCGCTCGATAAGTAAATAATGCATCTAAAATCCGTGTATACATGTTATGGTCAACGTATAGTCTAGAATGTTCGTTCTAAATACAATACATGTATCTATTAAAACTCCTAACAGTATTTTTGATTAACAAAAATATTTACTTAACTATATATTTTAATCATTATGTACATACATACTTTCTTAATTTAAATATGTAAATCGTTGTTCTAAATTTAATGAATATCTTACATTATTGCCAGTCTTTATTAGGCGTGTCCGAGGTCAATACTTCCATAAATTTAAGACCAGTATTATTATTGTCAAAACTGGTTTTATTATTACGATGTTATTAGTTCACAAGTACCTATATTTAAATAACAAAATACAGGGGTCTTCGACAAAGGCAATATATTAAAAATCGTTGTAAAACATAAACGTATTTTTGCATGAGATTAATTGTAGAGATAGCTTCGTTTGTCGTGACTACATATTATTATAACGAAGTAATCTGCATTTTGGCAGTTATGTTACGTGAAATTTTGCGTACCTACATATTCACGTTGCGCAGTTTGCATAACTTTACATATTTACCATATATTGCACAGATATTACGTAATGTTCAACATAATTAAGATAAAATACATTCCCTGTACTTCAAGGTTAAAAGTTTATCCTATATGTATAATGTATAGTTATTTACATATTATACAAACCATTATAGCCTTCTTTTGTTTTATTGGACTGATTCACCTAGTAACACTTTTTTACGAAGTAACAATAAAGTGCTAATTGTAGTAAGTGTATAAGTATTATCATTATTTTCTTTTACAGCCGTAAAGAAAAAATCCTCTTAAGTATTTAAAAGACAAACGAAATTTAAGCGATAAAATGTTAGTAAAGCGTCAAAACACGTCTCGTTTTTGTACGACTTATACGTTTGTAGAATATACCAGTGCCCTTGTGAAGTCGGAATAAGTAACAATATTAAATTTGCATACCGGCGAAGCTCGTGGGGTGTGGGGGCGCGGGGCGGTGTGGGGAAAAGGGGGGAATGTGTCATGAGCTTAGTTCAGTGGGGTCTGGGTGGCAGTCGTGCAGGAATGCGACGCGTTCACTTCACCCCAATCCCTAAATTCTTATCCACCTGATTCTAATGAGGTGAAACGATGTGTATATAACGCGATGTTTTGGCGGCAACGTTTTGTTTGTGCTCCGTGATACGGAACGTGGAATGATTGAGTACTGAAATCATGACAGCCTCGCATCCGGCTGCAATTATGCGAAGGTCACTGACTCGCAACTGGCAAGACGCGTGAATCACTACGGCTTAATTAAAAAATAAAGTGCGAGCGTTGCGTGGGCGCAATCTATTTCTTGGGAATTTACGCGAAAACGCAATGTTTTTTTTTTGTATTTAACTGAATAATCTAAACTTAGGTTAATTTAAATAAACCATTTTGAGACGCGAATTTTAACTTATTGTAAATACGACAATACTTAGGCTAATTTAATTGAAAGTTTTGTCATCTTAGTTATGACACAGTGCCTACTTCTCAATGGGTAATTTATTTACTGTTTTGGGTGCGTA